GAACGGCTACAGCCTGCACCCGCCTTACTTCAACCTGGCCGAGGGCACCAAGATCTCGGCCACCGCGACCTGCGGCGAGGAAGACGCCGGCGCGAAGAGCCCCCCCCGCTCGGTGGAAGACTTGTATTGCAAACTCGTGGGAGGGCCGGTCGCGGGAGGGGAGCCCAACCAGACCATCCAGGTACGCGGCGTTCCTTCCGGGAGGGGAAATCGCGGCAACGCGTTAATCAGTTTCTGTTCAGCGAGTTCTTTCGCGCGGCGCGGCTCCAGAGCAGAGCGCGCGCCGTCTTTCCGCGATCTCCTTTCTGGAAATGACCGGCGGGATGGTCGCGCGAGCATTGCGGAGCTACTGTAAAGGGTTCAGGGAAGACGGAGGGAAGGGGACGTCTTAAAAGCGACTCATCCAAACTTCGGAGCAGATCTTGCTCCCCTTTGCAAGAATGGGTTAGAGCCATGCCTTGAATCCCCTCACTTTCCCAGCCCCCCCTTCCCCCCTTGCTCAGGCAATTAGGACTCTGTGTGGCTTTGTCTTCCTTCCTTCCTTCCTTCCTTCCTTCCTTCCTTCCTTCCATCCATCCATCCATCCATCCATCCATTGCTAGATTATGTTTATCTTCCAGCTTTCCTTGCTTCTGGACTGATTCTCCGCTAACAGGACAGACACACAAACCCTCTTTCCAACATGCACTTTGTATCTGCACGCTCAATGCCTGTTTGTTCGGTGTTTTATAAAAGGGATTTTTCACATTTACCACCTTCCTATTTGAAGAAAGGGTCCCCAGTGCTCCCCCCCCCCCATATTTATTGGAGAAAGACCAACAAATCACTTGCTAAGTTGAATTTCTGGTCTGGGGAACTAGGTGAGAGAGAAAAATCTTAATCAGAAATCTGGAGAAATGGGAAGAAGGATTAGATCCCTTGAAAGCTGGGAGGGCAGTAAAGGGAATTGGTTTCTTGAGAGCTACGGCTGCATAAATGGCTGTGGGTACATTATTAGTCAGTGTTCAGACTTAAGAGCACAACGGCGTGCTGTTCATCACAAAATATGTTTGGACTTGTTGAGCGGGAAGAATAGAAAAACCCTTGCTAAAGTCCTCTGTTGAAATCGAAAACATGTCAGATTTTGCTAGGGTGATGAATTTGGGATAGATGAAGTTTTTTTAAAGAAGCATTGGGTTGGCAAAAACAAATTGATCTATTTCATTCATTCTGTTTGATAATAGTAATTATATATATATATTGCTTTCCCTGTGTGTTCAGAGGGCTCTCATATCCATATGGTAAGGTGGTTTGGTCTCATTGTGAGTCCTGAAGCACCCTGGTTTTATTTAAGGTTGGCTGAGGTCGAAATGATGGATATTCTAACTTGTTTTTGAGTTGAGCATTGCATAGCTTATCCAGATATTCTGTGAAGACCTCAGAATGTGCTAGATTAAAGCGGCAATAACATTTAAAGAAAAGAGAGGTCAACATGTATATAAAGGAAATGGTGTTCATCAACTTTCTAAGGTCTTGAGATAGGATTAAATGAGATATACACAGAAGTAATACCACGTGCTACATTTATGATGTGTATTGCTAGAAAAGTGTGTAGAGGTCAACCTAATACAAATATGAAATATGTTTACATTTTATATTACGTGTTATAAATACTTATTTAATATTTCCACCTTGGATCTTTTCAAACCTGATGTGCAAATCTATACTAGTTCAGAGAGAGACAATAAATCATTTTTTAATAAAAGAATTGAAGATGGTGGTATCGTAGTAGTATTCCTTGTGACAGGTCTACACTCATTTTATTTGTTCTGATCAAATAGATTTGATCACTTTCTAAAGCTCTGCAAGAAGACAGAACCCCTGATTGGAGAAAAAAGTACACCAAGTGTGCGCCCCATGTGCTGTAACAATGCTGATCTCATGGTGCTTTGGGAAAAAAAGAGTATCTGTTTGTCAGACTTAAGGGAAGTGGGTTGAATTTTGAGAATCTAGATGCAATGAAGTCCTCAAATTGTTTGAAGGAATGTGGGTGGGAGTGGAGGGTGTGTTAAGGATAAACAATTATTACAGGCTTATGTCAAAAGTAAATGTCTGCTTAGAAGGGGGCCTTACTGAGGAGCCACATGCACCCCGGGCCAAGAATTTCCCAGGAATGTGGATGGCAGAAGTGTGCCACTGTTCAAGGAGCTTGTGCTTGTCAAAATGCACACAATCATGGACATCTGGGATGGAGAGATCCCAGTTGCAGGAGGGAGTTTGTTAAAGGAAGGAGGAGAAGAGTGTGAGCAACTGAGCTTTGATTTCCCAGGGTTGTTGTAAATCTTGTGAGGGCAACTAGAGTAGTTGGGAAACAAATGGAATCTGAAACCACCCCCAGTGAGAGAAGACAAACCAAAGCAGCAGGACCTCTGTGTTTGTTGCTTGATTAGGAAGCAGCTAAGATGCCAGTTCACCTGGAGTTTATCCTCCATGGGTGGGTGAGAAGGACTGGGCTGTACTCACAGAGAAAGCAACAGTTCACATTGAGAAGTGGAGAAGTAACCACAACAAAACACAGGGTGGACTTTGTTTCTGTGTAACAGATGCTTATACCAAACCTGTTTGATTGTTGTTTAGAGTTGGAAGCTAAGCATGTTCAAGCCAGGTTGGTTAGTTAGTTAGTTAGTTCATTCATTCATTCATTCATTCATTCATTCATTCATTCATTCATTCATTCATTCGATATCTATGCTGCCAACTTAGAGGAGACTTCTAGGTGGAATACCAAAAGTGAGCGTTAGATTGGTAAGCTAAAAAAAAATTTCTGGAAGAACAAAGTGGCAAATCACTTGTGTTGCTGCCAAGAAAAAAATCATAGTTGTGTCCATGAAGTCAGCAGGAGTAGAACTCAACTTGAAGGAAACTAAGTCTTGTAACAAACGGCCAAAACTTTAGCAACTTGGAATCTTCCATAAATGATCAACCCACCTATGGGTTTGCAGGTCCATATAAAACGTATCTTCCTGGTTGAACAAGTAATTTAGATTACAGTACATTGTAATTTAGAAAGAGGGTGGATAACTTGCATCCTGTAGTATTTTTCATGTGTGGTCTTAATTTCTTCATTCCCAGGAGCCTGTGATTGGTTATGTGCCATCAGGTTGATGTTGATTCTTAGCGACTACATAGATTTCCTCCCTAACCTGGTCTTTCAGGTCTTCTCATGTATAGTCGCTTGTAGTCAATCAAATTTTGGTGATGAACTCAGTTCTGCTGATTTCCAAGAAGGTTAAAATTAAGCTGGTAGGCTATGAGAAAAATGTGTTTGAAGAGGACCTGAATTACTTTCTGCTTTGGACTCACCTGGTTCCTTATTCCCTGACCACAAATAGCGACAGAAAATTCTACAAGAGCCCCTTGCAGCCCATGATCCCAAAGGGTTATGCATGAGTAGGCTAGAGACATACAGATATGGGATACCTGATTTGGTAATAATATTTGTGAAAAAGATCTTGAATAGTAGTTGATGAAAATCAGTATGAGTCAGCAGCATGATGTAGTTGCAAAAAAGGCAACAGCGATTTTAGGCTCCACTACTAGAAATGTAGTTTCAGAATTACAGGAATTGTAGGAGGAGAGCTATGCTAGACTATGGTGGCAAAAGATCAGGAGTCTGGTATCACCTTTTCCGACTAACATATTTTATTAAAAGGCATCAGCTTTGTGACTTTGAACTGGAGCTCACAGAAACTTAAGCCTTTTAATAAAATTTGGAAGTCAGAAAAGCTGCTACTAGACTTCTAAAAATTACAGGAAGTGATCGTCCCACTTTATTCTGAGTCCTTCAGACTTCTTCTTGAGGATTGTGCTTGGTCCCAAGCATCCCTCTTAAAAAAGGATTCAAATGAGCTGCAAGAAGTTCAGAGAAGAGCACCAAAGATGATCAGGGAACTAGAAACTCAGTCCTGTGAAGAGACACTGAATAAGCTGGGCATGTTTAGCCTTGAAAAAAGATGACTTTGAGAGGGGGGAATATGATAACATTCCTCAAATACCTGAAAGAATATCACAGAAGAAGATCAATACCTCTTTCTCTGTTGTTCCAGAGTATAGGGCCCAGAATAATAGATTTCAGTTACAATGGAATGTTAGAAAAAACTTCCAAATGTTAAGAATGGTTTAATAGGGGAAGCTATTAACCAGAGAAGAGTGAGCAACTATTCACTAAATCTGTTCATGCAGAAGTTAGCTAGGCAGCTATCTGTCAGAGGCACTTTAATGTTGATTCCTGCACTGGGCAGAAGGTTGGACTTTATGGTATAAATTGCCACTTCCAACTCTGTGATTCTACTCATACCAAATACTTGTTTTATATCACTTGTCTTTATGTTAACTTTCATGCCCCAATTCACCCTTTCTCTGCAGTGACTTGTAGAGAAAGGGAAGGCATTTATGTAGCTGTGTGAATTAGAAACACCCTTTGCTTGACTCTTGGGGGTCTTAATTTTTTCTTATATTCCTTAGGGTAGTTGTGCCTTCCTTCTGCTTCACCAGTCCTGGCAGGCACCAGCTATCTCCATGGGACTTCAGGGCCTTTCTGTGCTAGCTAGCCTATTCTTACTCTCCAATCCTACCAACAGCTCCGTATGAGAAAAGCAGTTTTGATTTCTATGTTAACAAAATGTGCTTGCCTTCTACAAGGGTTAGGGTCAGCTGCCTCTGAGCCAAGCCATACATTGTTTTTATGCAGCTCTTGGATTGGCAGAGCACTTCATGTGGACTCGGTTCAGCAGCTGAGCTTATCTTCTTGACCCACCTCTGGTGCCTCCATCTGAGCTCCGTGGTGGGTTTTCCCCCTTATTTGCGAGGAATCCTGCTACCTGGCCCTTGCAGAGGTTCAGCTACAGCGTCATCTTGCCATGATGATGCTATGATTATTGTTCCTTTATATTGTGAGCAGAAGGATGGTGTCATGATGGCACCCTTTAGAAACAGTGGTGATTTTTCACAAAGTGCCAAACAATTGAACCCAACAGGTGTTGTTGGGTGTGATTCTTCACACCCTTCCTTGGTTTTATAGCTCATGGGGTTGCCAGTATTTCAAGGTTAGGTGTACTGAGGACAATCGTGGGCTAGTTGGCCAGAATTTCTGAGAGTTTGAAGAACAAAAACAATAGCAATGTGAAAGGTTTCCTCCATGTT